CAGGAAATCACATCTGACTATGGCAAGATAAATAATACAGACAAATAAATTATATAACTTGTCTTGGCTGAATTATTTGGAAAACTGCCTCTTAATAGACTAACATGGCTTTATTCAACATCATACCAGCTGCCTTGGACACCATCATGTTTCCATTTAAAAATGTTTCTCGACTTTTCCATTGTAATGATCACTGTATGACACATACAATATGTCCATTTCTGTTGTTTTAAGGATTTTGGTGAATTAATTTAAACCAATCCAGGGAAGCAAAAATATGCACATAAACAACAAACAAACTCATTTAGTGCTTAATTTTTAGGTGTTTGGTCTTCTATAATGCTTCTCTATCGCACTGTGACTATAGAAGGAAATTAAATTAGACCAAATTAATTTTAGAGAAGAAACAAATACAAAAATATTCAACTTTCTAAAGAAAACCCATGTTCAGTATGAATGAGTTGTCCAGCCTCAAAAGGCTTTTTTCTAAATGTACTTATATCCAAACAATACGAGATTAACTAGAGAAATTGAATTTCCTGTGAAAATGCAGTGTCAATGCTTACTGCTGAAGAACTTGCTGAAAAACAGCTGAAATTAGCAAACAAACATGTTGAATTTTAGTTGACAAGGAAGAAGCCTAAATTAGCAGAAGAAAGCAGAAAGAACACATATTTTCTGAATTAGGTTTAAATAATTAGAAATGAGCACAGAAATTATGAAATTAGCTATAAAAAGCTGAAATTAGCCAAAATAAAAAGGTCTGAAGATAAGCTGAAAATACAGAAAGAAGCTTAAACTACCAGAAGGAAGTGCAGAGCTGAAATGAGCTAAAGAATGTTGAATTAGCTGAAAAAGCTAAACAGCATAAAACAGCTAAATAGTACCTGAAATAACTAAAACTTGCAGAAATAAGCTGAAAGGAGCATAACAAGCTGAAATTAGTAGAAATAAGTTAATTAGGCTGAAAGTAGCAGAAGTTACCAGAAAAAAACTTGAATTTATCTGAAAACAGCTGAAATTAGCTAAAAATGCTCAAAGGGTAGCTGAAACAGTAGAAAAAGCTTAAATTAGCCGAAGAACGCAGAAAGAACACGTTTGGCCATTTAAGCTGAAGGAAGCAAAATTGATAACAAAAAAGTGAAATGTATCTGAAAAAAGCTGAAATTAGCAAAAAGGCAGCTGAAAAGTAACTAAAAAGGCAGAAAGAAACCTACATTACCAGAAGGAAGTGGAGAGAGCACATTTTTGCTGAACCAGGCTGAAAAAGTGGAAATGAGAGGGAAAAAAAGTGGAATTAGCTGAAAAAGCGAAAATTAGCTTAAAACAGCTAAATAGTAGCTGAAATAGCAGAAAAAGCTCTAACTTGTAGAAATGAGCTGAAAGGAGCATAACGAGCAAGAAGAATTTCGAAGAAGCACAAAAATGTAGTTGGTAGAAATAATCTAAAAGGATTTTAAAAAGAGCTAATATTAGCTGAAAGCAGCTGAAAAAAGTTTAAATTTACACAAGGAAGCTGAAAGAAGCTAAACAAAATGTGAAAGGAGCAGTAAAAGGTTGTAAACATATCTAAAGATTTGAAGGATATAACATGAGCTCAATTTATTTTCTATGAGGAAAAAAAATTGCAGAAAAGGCAAAATATTTCAAAAAGCTAAAGTTGCACCAAACCCAAAAGTCCTAGCACCCTTCTCCTGAAAGAGCTGAAAGTTTTGATATTTGATTTGTTGAAATAGCACCAACTGTGGAACGAGGAAGATGTCGAATAACGTACAGAAGAAAAATGGATCACAATAGAGTGAATGCTTCATGAACATTCACACAATGAAAGATGTAGCGATCTGGTATTTTTGTTTGATAATTATTAGGGAATTAATTTGTTTCCCAAGAAGCTACAGCAGGTTTTTTTTGTACCAGCTCAGAAATACATTATGCTCCTGCTGTTTTAATATGAGCATTTGTCTTCATTTAATGTCTGTCAAAAGTCTCAATATTCACATAACTGCGGCATTATGAATAAATATGGCAGCTGCCAGGTTTGTTCTTGTAGCTTCTGAACTCATTTACATCATGTTGGTGACCAATAAACAACACGGCACACGAACGGCTGTGTACCAGTTTGACGTGTCAAAAAGCAGCATTTTGTGCTGGTATTTTCATACAACACGTTTGTTTTTCTGTTATGAAGGAGAAAGTTTTTTGAAAAGGAAACTTTTAATAAGAATAAAATTCTTTGTCCTTTTTAGTCACTTGTGTTGGACTTTAAAAGTCTAACCATAATGTAAATGCATTTTTTACTAGTGTCGTGAAAATGTCCCGCCATCTGTCAATCAATCCAGTAGGCATGTCAGCAACTGACCAGTCAGCGACTGACCAGTCAGCGACTGACCAGTCAGCGAC